TAGGGCCCTAAGGTTGATGATATAAACCCTGCATTACCCATAGTAAGGAATAGACCACAATTCCCATAGTTTAAGGTCCTTAAGGTCATGCAGGATTTATATCACCAACAGCCCTAAACCCTAAACCCTAAACCCTAAACCCTATAAACCCTAAACCCTAAACCCACAGTAGGGAAGGCAGTCAGCTTGAGGCACCTCGGCAACCAGCTCCTGGGTCTCGGCGGCTAGATCCGGGGAGACTGGCACCTCGACAGAATAACGGGTTTGGGCGGTTTAGGGTTTAGGGCTTAGGGTTTAGGGTTTAGGGTTTAGGGTGTGGTCAGAGCCTATGACAAACATATGGTCGGTGATATGGGTGGTTTTCCGACCCTTCAAGAAGCAATGCCCTGTGACAGTTGGCAGCCCGGTCGGTGCTCGAAGATTGAAAGCAGAGGAAAATCGAAGAAACAACAAGGGCTAGGGAGGTTGGGAGAAGAAAAGTTCGAACTACGATACTTATGCCAAAAAGGCCCCACGGAACATATAATGAAAAAGACCCCTTAAAGGACCCCCCACAGCAGGAACCCTTAAAAGGAGCCTCCTAGGACTCCTTGAAGGACCAGTTAAAAGGAACCTAGGTGCTCGAAGCTCGGAAGTGCTCGACCCACGAAGATCCTCGGTTTTTCGATCGGTGAACGAAGAAAGCAAGCAGTTGTCACTTCGCAGAACGGTTTAGGGTTTAGGGTTTAGGGTTTGGGGGTTTAGGGTTTAGGGTTTAGGGGTTTAGGGTTTAGGGTTTATGGGTTTACGACAGACCTGGCAGCTCGCCATCTCCCCTCTGTTGGACGCCTTGCTCTGCCCGGGTGCTCGAAGACTCTGGGGTCTCCCGGACAGGCTGGTTGTAATGAATGCCAACCCACGAAAAAAAATATATTTATTTATTTATTTATCTATATCTATATCTATATCAATTTTGCAGGGAATGTATTACTTTTGTCTTGCTTTACAGGGTGGGTTGTGAGCTTACGGTGGCATGGTGATCCCTGCACCGGCGACCTCGTCCAGGGTCTCAGCTGCTTGGACTTCCGACGGTAGAACCTAGCGCAACGAAAACAGCAGACGCTGTGCATCCGTGCAGATTTCTGTCGCAAGCCCCACGCCTCCAATTCCTCGTCCCTCGTCTCGGCTTGCTCTTCGGAGCCCCCGACCTCCCAAGACTCCAAACCGCTGCTGCGATGCAGTATAGGGTCTATAGGGTTTAGGCTTTAGGGTTTAGGGTTTAGGGACCCTAAACCCTAAACCCGCTTTTGCTCTGCAGCAGCGAAACCTCCATAAGCTCGTCCTTGGACTTGGCTGGCTCTTCGGAGCCCTCGACCTCGCAGAAATGGCAATAGTGCAGAGCATCAAGGCCGGAATTTGCAATGTAATCATCCCCGCACCTCCATAAGATCGTCCTTGCTTTGGGTTTGTTCTTCGGAGCACTCGACCTTACAAAAAAAACTACTCGTTGGCTAGTTGGCACCATGCATGCTGTTGCACTGCAATCTGCACACCTCCATAAGCTCGTCCTTGTTTGCGGCCTGATCTAAGGAGTCGTCGACCTCGCAATCATACAAGAGCTGGCACCATCCGTGCTTTTGAACTGCAATCGCGGCACCTCCAATACCTTGTCCATGTCCTCGGCTTGCTGATCGGGGCCCTCGACCTCGCAAACTGCGAACAGCTTGCAGCATGCATCCACGATGGGCTTTTTGCACTGCAATCCCCAAACCTCCACAAGCTCGTCCTCGGAATCGGCTTGATTTTCGGAGTCGTCGACCTCCCAGTGTGTCAGAGCTGGCACCATGCGTGCTGATGAACTACAATCGCGGCACCTCCAACACCTCGGCCCTGTTGTCGGCTTGCTGATCGGGGCCCTCGACCTCGCAAACTGCGAACAGCTTGCAGCATGCATCCACGATGGGCTTTTTGCACTGCAATCCCCAAACCTCCATAAGCTCGTCCTCGGAATCGGCTTGATTTTCGGAGTCGTCGACCTCCCAATGTGTCAGAGCTGGCACCATGCGTGCTGATGAACTACAATCGCGGCACCTCCAACACCTCGTCCCTGTTGTCGGCTTGCTGATCGGGG